CTATCATAATAATAATAATAATAGTAGTAGTAGTAGTAGTAGTAATAGTAGTAGTAATCTCGTTTTATAAATTAATTCATCTTAAAATCTATAAAACAATTTGATCGAATTCGTTGCCATTAAAGGAAAGATTTGTTGTTGCTGTAAAAATTTGTATTTTTTTTTGTTTTTTGTTATATAACAATTATTTCTTTTTTTTCTTTTTCAATTGCTGTCATTGTCACTGCGATCGTCGATTCCGGGCGATCAGGTGTAATACGAGAGCTAATAATTAATAATAATAATAATATAACAAAAGGTAAATATATATTTATTTTGTACGCGAGTGTAAAATTACGCGGGCGGGGAGGAGCAAGCGGAAAAATAAAAAAAAAATAAAAATAAAAATTGGACGTCCTTCTTTCTCAACATTTCTGAAATGAATTTAATTAACTGATATTAGATTAGATAAGAATAAAAAAAAGACAGAATAAGAAGAATAAGAATAAGAATAAGAAGAAGAAGAAGAAGACGTCCTGCGGAGATAGACACGTTCATAGCACGAAAGGGGTTTGGTTGGTTGGTTGCTTGCTTGATTTTGTTTTTTCGATTGTATTTTTGTAATTAAAATGTAGTATTATTTATGTGTGTATGAGAAACGTACGTGTGAGATTTAAACGTGCGGTGTTCAGACAGAGAAAACGGGCTTAGGTAACAGAAAAAAAAAGATTGGCGAATTGGGGTTGGGGGTTTCATGGGCGCGGGGTTTTACGCGGGGTGGGCTGGGGTTAGGGGGGTAAACCGAACGTATAGAACAAATATAGAATGATAATTATAATAGAAATTGGTAAATATGATATATGATGTTTTTTATAATTAATGATACTCATGATAAAATAATAATAATAATAATAATAATAAATGTATAATGTAATGTAATGTAATGTAATATATGTATATATATATAGAGGTGATGGCAGGCGGGCAGGCAGCCCATCTCAGCAACCGCGGCATAGCAGCTAGCGTCTATAAACGGACTAACGGGACGGTCGTGCGTGTGTATTTGTGTAAATTTTTAATGTATATGTATTTGTGTGTTTGTGTGTTATTTATATTATTTGTATAATAAATATTTGTAATTAATAATCGTGCAGCAATAATAATATCGTTCTGTCAGTGTCAATCTTGGAAAAAATAATACATTTGATTTTATTAATAATAATAATAATATTATTAATAATAATATTGAATGAAATTATAAAAGATAAATTTGATTGATAGTAAAACATTAGTTAAGTGTTAGACAGTATCGTGTTTAATTTTGTAAATAGGTGAATAGTGATTATGTGTGTTGTTTGAGCGTGCGTTCAAAGTTAGGTGGTTGTGTGTTGTTGTTAATGTGTTACGTGTTATTGCGTATGGTTTGTTAAGTGGTGAGATAAATGTCGTCGTGTAAATTTTGGCTTTGTGTCTTCTTCGGGTGGTTTTCATTATTAAAACTCGCACACGCGCTCGTGGTTGCATTAGAAAAGAAAAGTAGATAGGTGGTAGTAGTAGTAGTAGTTAGAGGTCGTCGTTTATAAGATAAGTAGGTGAAATTAGCGTGATACGTGAAGCGTGTAAAAAGTTGTTCTTTTTCTTTTTCTTTTTTTTTTTTTTTGAAGTCGGATTAGTGGTTTTCATCGTGTGGTATGCATGATGAGTTTTACTCGAGCAAACATTGTGTCCCTTTTTTAAAAATCTAAACCAACGTGCAAGCACGACGACTATTTTTTAGAATCGTTGGAACATTTATGTTTGTTTGTTGTTTTTTTTTTTTATATAAAAGGGACAATTATTTTGGAATTATAAGAATATTTTCTTAGATATGTGTTTTATATTTCTTTTTTTTTCTTTTTGTTTCTTGTGGTATTTCATAATTTTCTGTTATTTTTGTCTTTTTCATATTTTCCACCATTCTACTTTTCTTTTCTCATTCTTTTTGCTTTTTACTAACAACACGTTGGTTCGAACATTTCTTACAACCTACGTGCCAACCAGCGATAAATCTTGAATGGTATGTGACACACCGTCATTACGTGCATCAGATATTCTAATTAGTTCGGAGTATTCTCGCTATCCACGATTTTTTTTCTAACGATTAGGTTAACCCCAATCTTGGATATAACCTAAGTCCACCTGTGATCTATATCTAATTTACCTTCTTGTAATTTTTACCATTTTTTTTCCTTTATTCCCTCATTTACTTATTTTTTATTATACAAAAAAATTATTTATTTTTATTAATTATTTTTTTGGAAAGTCCATTAGCTGGTTTAATTATAGAAGTAAGGACGAAAATAACCTTAGAACCTAACAGTAGGTATAACTATATCGTTCTTGTATCTAAAAGTTGGATGCTGCAATAAGAAGAAGACGAAGCAAAAGAAGAAGAGAAGAAGAAGAAGAAGAAGAAGAACCAGAGATGGTACCTTTCCATCGTCGTCGCGTTCCGGAAAATTTTATCGATGTTTAAGAGTGTAAACGGTCTTAATATTTGATGCTTTTCCGCTGGATTTCAGTTGGCCAACTTTCAGGCTCGTTTATTCAAAACTTTCTTACCACCGAGTTCGATTCTTCCCCAACCTCTTTAACCTCCCCAACCCCTCATCCCCATCTTCAATCCTGTTCTGTTGTACACCTTGCTGGTTGAACATCTTTTTTTGGAAGATTCGCGGTATCGACACCCGAGTTCATGGGACGACCTAAAGTTTGGCCTCGTTTTCAAATTTTACGAGTTATAAACAATGAAAATAACTTAGCAATTCATTTCAAATCAAATTTGTTATAGGACAAATAAAAATTTATATTTTTGAGAATGGAAAATTGGATTGTTATTAAATATTTATGTGAGATAGGTTAATATTGAGATACTAATCTTTGATCACCTGTAATTAAAATCAAACAACGTGTGCATGGTTATTACTATGATTGATTAATTCATATAGAAAAAGGAAGGATAAAAAGTATATGTTATTGACATATTTTATAATATTAAATAAACGTAAGAAGTTATTAATAAAGAAATTAATTATTAAAATTCGTAAAATTATTTATGTATAATTTAAATGAATTTTATATAGAAATGAAAGTTTTTTTAAGGAAATATTTTCTCTTATAAAATATATATATATATAATATTTTATTTATATATTTATTATTATTTTTATTTAATTTTTTTTTTCAATTATTCATTAAATATTTATTAAGTAAATATAATACTTTTATATTAGATTGATTGCTTATCGAAATAAATATCATATTTAATTTAAAACTACTTTCAATGTCAATACATTTAATTAGATTTGAAGAAAAGTTTTAATATCAATCATGGTAATGTTACCTAAAAAACATAATCTAATATTTTAATCAAATTATATATATATATATATACACACACACATATACTTTAATTTAAAATAATAATTTATATTTAAAAATTTGATAATGATAAAACAATTCTTAGTTATTACAAATAAATATATAAATATTTGTTTTAAAAAATTTGGATTAATCATTGAAACAAAATTGATGAGTTATACAATAATAATAAACAATCTATTGGTAAAATCTAAATTTAAGGAACTAAAATGAGAACTTTGAGAGACAGAAAAGAGGGGCAGGGRAGGGGAGGGGGAAGGATAGAAAGGGAAGATTGTCTAGTTTTCATGTAATCGTATTAGACGATCGACGTTCGTAGATCAAGAGAAGTTGTCTTCTAGTTGTGTGAAATACAACGACAAGCATCTAACTAAAGGTTCTTCGTTTGTCAAGGAAAAGCGGAAGATCAAAGGAACAACACCATACCATATAGCTCCAGGAAATTCGACTATGTTCTTCACTTGTCGGCAAGCAAATTAATTTAATCGTTCAATTCTAAGTGATCTCTTTGTCGATTATCGTATGACGCTTCGATGATCCGAAACGAATCAACGAGCCTTTCGATGTGTGTACACAGAAACCTTTAGGGTAAATTTCTTCCTTCATTCCTACCTTCCTACCCTCCTTCATTCCTACCTTCCTACCTTCCTTCATTCCTTCCTTGTTTTCTCTTTCAATCTCAATCTTCTGTCTCGAATTTCCTTGTAGAAAGGTTTGAGAAATGAATCAAACGAATATTACTAATCAAATGTATTATAATGTTTCGTAATTTGTTTATGGTAAATGCAAATGAACGTTGTGTTTGTGCATACTCCTAATAAAGTATATTTTATTATTATTAATTAATTAATTAATTAATTATATTATATTTGAAATGTATTGTTTTATTTTCTTGTCATAATTTTATTATTCCAAGTTTATAAAATACTATCGAAACATTTCATTCAAATTACTCGTCGATATTTTCCTTTTTGTCCATTCATTTGTTTTTTCTTTTTTTTTTTTTTTATACACCGTATTATTGTGCGCGCGTGCGAGTGACACTTTTTTTTGGATAAAACATTTCTTTTTTTTTATTTTGCGTGTGTATGTTGTTTTTTCTTTTTTTTTTTCATCAACGCATCGGTACCTTGTATCAACGATTTTCCGTCAAAAAGTGTTCATTTAAAAGTATGAATGTTTGCATTTGTGATTGAACGCATGTATATATTTATTTTGTGTACATATGTCTGTATGTATAACATATGTGTTTGTCTGACTGTCAGTGTGCGTGTATGTTTGTGATATCGAAGGTATAAAAAACACGGGCACTAATGTGTGATTGCACGGGCAAGAGACAGTATATCAAAAAAAGGGGTTGGGGGTGTTTAGGGCTTAAGAGTGGCGAAGGGCGAGGGGTGGGGGTGGGGGTGGGGGGTGTTTGGCGAAAATGGAATATCGTCGAAACGATTCGGAAATGATATATATTTATAAATATATATATGTATATATAATAATAATTATATTATATATGTATGTATATATAAATATAAATATATAATATAATTATAATCAATCGAATTCAGCGAATTTATGACTTTGAGTAAGACCTAGGGTAGTACCATTTTCACTTCGGATAGCGAGCTGATACTCAAGACGTACATGGTGACGCCCACCTCGACGGGAGGACCTGAAATCGAAGGTTAGTCAGACTGAGTCGGCCGTCAAAGGGCCGTTAGCGGTCTGTTTTACATACACTCGTACTGTCATACTAATTTCTTTTTTTTCTTTTTTATGATATATATATTTTTAAATATTTATACGTATATATATTTTTATATATATAAATATAAATGTATATATATATGTATATTATGATTCATTTTTTTTATATATACCATCATTTAATTATTTTATAACTATCAATTAATATATACCATCAATTTTTAAAGGTTCATACAATTACAGAGATATGTATATATATATATATATATGTGCTCTTATTTTATATTTTGTCATGATATTTAACAAAAAGAGAAAGATTAAACAAAAATTAAAAAAAAAAAATATATAAAGGACACTTTTACCTAATGCACCTTTTTTTAGATTCGAATTTGAGAAAAATTATTTATCGATTATTTACAATGCTCGTTGATTTCTGTTTTATTGTTATCGTTATTATCGTTTTCTCGAATTATCACATATATATATATTTTTTTCTCATTTCTTAGTTTACTTTTGTTTTTTTTTTTTTTTTTTTATATATATAGTGTTCTGTTCGTAAGAAAAATTTGTCAAACCGTGAGAACGGTAGAACACCACAGAAAGAATTCATATTTTAAATGGCGTGTGCATTAGAGTGTGTTTAATTCTCTCTGTTCGTTTAATTCATTTGTCTTTTTTAATTTCTTTTTTTTTTTTATTTCGTTAGATCTGTTGTTATTGCTGAAAGTGTTAATTTTTCCATAGATTAAATCTTCGTCGACCGATTCGAGATAATTATATACACTGTATACATATATACATAGATACATAGATAAATAAATAAATAATTATTATTATTTATATGTATACGTATAGAATTTCTCGCTTTGTACAGTATAAATGTATTTACGCTCGAACTCGAATTTATTTTTAGAATCAGTTAAGAGTTTAGTATACAAAAAAAAAAAAAATTAAAAAAAGTTTAAACTTCTCGGTCAATTTAACTATTTTTACTTTCTTACTCCCATTTCTTTCCATTTCTTTTTGTTGTTGTTTTATTTTTCTCTCTGTAGAAGTACGCGTTATCGCTGAGATTCGTGTTCGACGATATCCAACCAGGTAGTGTACGGTTGTTTTATTTTTAAATGCGCGAAATGTGAGATTAAAAACATTAGCCACGTGATTAATGCGTTTTAACACCTAACTTTTGCATTAATTTTTTCTTTTCTTATTTAATTTTATTTTAGTTTATTTTATTTTATATTTTTGTCCTAAATTTYTGTTGTATTTACAGTAGCATGATGCACGTACTACTCTAAATTGTGATGGTAAATAATACTAAATGGTTCGAAAAAAATAATTACAAAATATATGATAAAATACATGTAAATATATATATATAATACATAAATATTCAATATAATATATAATAATAATTAATAATAAATAAATATTAATATATTATATATTATATATTATATATTAATATGTAATATATAATTTATATGTTAATAATAATATGTAATATTTAACTTACATATTAATATTAATATGTAATATATATATATATATAATAAAATATATAAATATTTAAAAATAAAGACCGAGAAGTGGGCGTGATTAGGTGATTCGAACTTCAACCAGTCAAAAATTCGAATTTAATTTTACAATTTCTCGTAAACGTAAAGAATTTATTTTTGTTCCCATGACCATACATACCACTGTCTATCCAAACCTTTCCTCTTCACCAAACCCTTCTCTCAACCCCTTTTACCAACACCACCACCATTACCTTTCCCAATAGCTGAGTTTTTTAAGACTTTGATCGATAACGGAACGTTTTTCGGTTCTGAATTGTCGACGAGGCTGTCGATTTGATCGCAAATCCCCACTTTGCATCGGACCCGCATCTTTCTTTCTTTTCTTTCTTTTTTTTTTTTTTGTTTTCATCTTTTACCATCTATCCACCCACCCATACACACACATACATTTCTTTATGGACGAATAGAAACGATTGAAAGGAACTCTTTCGTCTAGTTTCCTCTAGCGTACTATGATCGTCGGCCGAGAATTTCAAATAGATTCGCATCTTTTCCTTTCCTACCTTCTCTTTTTTTCTTTTCTTTGTTTTTTTCTCCTCCATTTTTTTTTTCATTTTCTTTCTTTCATTTTATTTTTTTCATTTTATTTTTTTCTTCCACCGATTTTATACTTTTCGCTTGGATCCGTAGGATTTCTATAACGTTGATATGGATGCATTGGGTTTATATGTACGTACCTACATTTTATGTTAGATTTGATAAAAGAAGAAGAAGATTTTTCTTTGAATTCAGATAAGGTGTCGAATCGACGATTATTAAAAGATTGAAACTAGAAAAGAATGGGGAAAGGGAAGGGAAAGAGGATGATTTTCTATTGTGAAAGAAGAGAAATTAAATTGTTGAATTTGTCGAATTTTTATTATTAGGTCTACTGGAAAATTCTGTCCGTTCGAACAAAAACTGGTTCAATATTTTGCCTTTAGAAATTCGGCATTTTTTTAAAAATGGGATATAAAAATTGGTAGAAAGTGAAAAATAATGATGGTAGTTGTATTATTCAATAAAGTTTATAAAAGCTACGAAATTTTATTATTATTTTATTTTATTCTAAAAACGAATAGAGAGAACTTTTCTGGTAGAACATCTTTTATTAAAAGTTTTTTCAATTGATATTAAAATCAAAAAATGTTGATTAAAATAAGCATTTTTGTTTTGAGATTATAATTGGTGAAAATATATTTTTTTTCGACATATTTTATATTTTATATTATAAATATAATAAAAATATATAATATTAAATTTTTATTAAATTATATAATTGTAATAATATATAAATAATTAAATTATATTAAATAATTATATAATTATATATATATTTTTTTTTATTAAATTATATAATAAGTATTTTTTTTTTTGATATTATAGTTGGTGAATGTGTATTTTTTAAATTATATTTTAATATATACATTATATATATCGTTTTTTTTATGAATGCAATTTTTATGGTGAAACGTTTGAATTGACTTTAAATAAGAATTGTATTTTTGTTAACAAATCTATTATTATTTTATTTTTTTTATTTTTCTTTTTCTTTTGTGCATTTCAATTGATTTTATTTAACAGGTAACATTGGTGATACTATTATTTCGGTATTTCAATATTTTGTGGTATGCAACCGAACGATAAAATATTTTGTTATTTTGAAAATGTTTTTTCAATTGATCTTAAATAAGAAACGTTGACAAACCAATTGTTTGTTTCTTTTTCTATTTTTTTTTTTTGGAGGGCATTTTGATTGATTTTATTAAACGCAGAAAAAAACGTTTTGTTAAAAAATTTTCTTTTTCTGTGCGCTATTTCAATATTCATTCATCCTGTCACTTTCATGTAACAGATACAAAGTTGCAAAATCGTCAATAATTGAATAAATTTGTTAATATTTTATTACGAGTGAGAAAAAGTGGATTTGTCAAATGTTTTATTTTGGAAAAATGTAATTTTCATATCAAAACGTTCAAATTTATTTGAATCAAAATAAAAAAAATTAAATAAATTTGTTAACCTTTTATTACGAGTGAGAAAAAATAGATTTGTCAAATGTTTTATTTTTGAAAAATGTAATTTTCATATGAAAACGTTCAAATTGATTTTAATTAAAATAAAAAAAGAAAAAAACGTCACCCAACTATCAATCATATCTTTCTTTCTCTCTCTCTCTCTCTCTTTCTGAATATTATCTCAAATTTCGTATAAAATTATTCTCTCTGTTCTTTTTAAAATAATAATTATAATAACTTTCCTATCAAGTTAGGATTATAATTTTCAAGTAAATCCCTCCAGTATTTTCTCTTATTTAAAATAAAAATTTTCAACGAATCAAGAGACTTTAGAATGTTATACTATGAAACGAAATGACAGATGGTAAACGATAGGAGAATAAAAGTAAAAGAAAGAACAGTAAAAGAGAAAGAGAAAGAGAGAAAGAGAAAGAGAAAGAAAGGTGTAGAATGCAGAAGGCAGTTGGAATCGGTGTGGGTGGTTGAAGGGAAGAAGGGGTGGAATTTTCGCGATAAAGTTGACTCGTAAACAACGGCCCTGCCAACGGCATCGGTTGGTACTCGACCGATATATATCTTCATTTCCATTTCTAGGATGTTTTTAAAGCCCTATTCCCAAAGAACGTCCCATATGGGGTAACATAAATCAAGATGACACGTCCATACTACTATCCAAACCTAACAGACACACCTAACTCATTGCAAATCTCGTGAGAAACGTTTAATTGAAACCTATAGTATCGTTTTCTCGATTTCCTAAGCAAAACGAGATGAAGTAAAGAAAGAAAGAATAACCAAACGTGTTGTAAGGGGGTTGGTAGTGGGAGTAGGGTGTTAAGGGAGAATGAAAAAAAAAAGTATGAAAGAAAAATGGATGGGTAGGAAACGGAAACGAGGAGTGAATGAGTCAACTTTGGGCGACCTGCCAAAACGTTCGCCTTGTTCAAAAGTGGACATTTTTCTTCGTTTTTTTTTTTTTAGCTTTTTTTTTTCTTTCTTTCTTTCTTTCTTCGTTTATTAATTTCTTTCTTTTCTTTTGTTTTTTTTACGTTCTTTACGAGATTAGATAATAATATATCTAACGAGGTGAAGGGAGAGAGGATGAGAAAGTTTGCTCAGAGAATGTTCGAAGGTGTAGATAAGCTTAAGCTTTCTTTTTATGAGCTTTACATTAGCAGGTTGGTAAAAGCGCGTGGTTTGGATTTATGGTACACTTTGTTTCTTTATTTAAACGCTAACACGTGTAAGAGAGAGAGAGAAAGAAAGAAAGAAAGAAAGAAAGAAAGAAAGAAAGTAAGAGATTTAGCGAGAGAAAAAGAAGTTTCTCATTTTCTAAAGAAGAAAAAGAAGAAGAAAAATCCACTAGATTATCGCGATAATTTACTTTT